CCACTGAGCCAGACTGGCAATCAGGTCTCTCCTCTAGAGCATAGAACAAAGTCCTCAGAGACAAGTTAGTGCAAACACTAAGCAATGGCAGGCAGCCCCCCAAAAGAGGCCAAACAACACAACCAGCACTTTAGAGAAGTAAAGCATGATCTCCGGCGATCCAATGCTAACCATTTCATCTTTGTTCTTTGTCTTCTAAGGGAGGCAGGGCCGGCAGAAGGGGAACTCTGTGGACTGGAAAGAACACGGTCATGGGAACTGAGGACAGAGGTGTTCTGGGCTGTCCTGGTTGTGAACATGCAAATTAAGGGCTCTGCTGTGAGGCTCACTCAAACAGGCGGCATGGTCATGGCGGTTCATGTGGGGTGGCTGGTGTCTGAGAAGGGGAAGAGAGCACAACCAGGTAGCACACACAGCCTGAGGCACAAGACATCCATGGGCCACCTCTGCCCCATAGGGGACCAGCACCCTCCAGGGAGAGCTGTGGCCCTCAACATGCCCGCTCCTTGTTTCCCAATTCATCCCCAACACTGACGTGACCTCTGGCTCCCACAAAAGTATCACCTCCCTCACAGGATGGAGGTTTTTAAGAGCCTATGGCCTAGTTGATTGCTGGAAGTCATGAGCTCCACCTCACCCTTGATGCCCTCAGAGCAAATATGTATCTCCATCAAAAGGGGGCAGACTGCTTTTTAATAAAGAGAATGTCAGAGAACCTGCCCTGCTGGTCCAACCCACCCTTAATGTGGAGTCAGCTGACTCGAGCACCAAGCTCTCCATCTTCAAATCTAGATGGGGTTGGGGTCTGATATGGTGTTATCGACTGGTCTGTTCCCTCAAAAACCACAGGCTGCAAACCCGAACTCCTGTACCTGGGGATTGGGCACAACTGCTGCAAAAGACCTCTCTGAAGTGTTAAAAAGCAGAGGGTCGCTTGAAAGACTGAGGTATGTCTGGCCCAAGCCACGGTATTTTCACTTGCCTCCTATGCAAGTGAAAGCTGAACAATGAAGAAGGTAGATTGGAGAAGAAAATCGATGCATTTGAGTCACAGTATTATAGAAGAAACATGAAAGTACCATGGACTGCTGGAAGGAGGCACAAATCTGTGTTGGAAGAAGTGCAGCCAGAATGCTCCTGAGAAGCCAGGATGGCCAGACTTCGCCTCATGTACTTTGGATACGGTCAGAAGGAACCAGTCCCTGGAGAAGGACTTCATGCTTGGTACAGTAGAGGGTCAGTGAAAAAGAGGAAGCCCCTCAGTGGCAGGAACAACGGTTCAAGCACAAGCATGATTGTGAGGACAGCGCAGGAGTGGGCAGCATTATGTTCTGCTGGACACGGGTCGCCATTCATTGGAACCAATGCAGGGTACCTAACAACACATCTCTGGATGTGATCCCATCTGGGATTTCCTTTGTGCTGTTAATGGGGCCAAATCAGTGGTGAGTTTTAAACCAATCACGACTGAGATAGGACAGAAGGGGGGCAGGAACTAAGAAAGCAAGCTCTGACGGGGTAGCATAGATGTCACATGACAAGAAGGTCTCCAAAGAACCCAGGAACAGCAACTTTTGAAAAAGGGACAAGGTGCTTCCCCAGGGTGGAAGAGAGAAAGGCTCCCCCGTGAGCCGGCACCCTGAATTCGGACTTCTAGTCTCCTGGCCGTGAGAAAGCAGTCTCTGCTCTTGAAAGCCCCCTCCACTCCCTAGCTCTGTCTGTGTTACAGCTGCGCTAAGGAACAAAGACAATCTAGAATTGCACCAACCTCGACTTTGTGATCTAATGCGGTCATCCTCCAATTCCACATAATGACCTGGTCTTTATGTGGGCAGTGAGCAGGGGGTGACTAGGCTGATGGAGATCGGGGCTCAGCTCCTGTGGTCCCTTTGCCAGTAGAAAAGGGTACAGATAAGTACTTCGAGACACCCCGTCTCCTTTAGAACATGCCCACCCAGCCTCATGTGCCCCATTTGTCAGAACTATGGATGGATGTAAAACTTAGGATCAATATTTTAATAAAGTCTAAATATTTAGAAAACATCATTGAAATGCATAAGGAGATTATTAGCCAATTCATTCTTTGGTCTTTCCATCTGCCTGGAGTGAGGTTTACAATAGCAGAAGACTGCTATTCATTCCATGCCAGATGCCATTACCAGATGCCAGAGAGAGACAATGAAGGAATGTCCTAACGTTGGCGCCCTTTGATTGAACTCCGGCTTTCTTTGCTGGAAACAACAGGCTATTCAGGTTTGTCTATAGGGGATTCCCTTCAATATTCCCAGTGAGTAAATCCATGAGACAAGTGTGTCTGGAACCTGGCAGGCATCAAGTACTTGTTGCACAATTTATTAAGTGATACAGAAAATAAGGAAGATGACATCCGTAAGGAATCCGGCTGGAAGGGGGCAGACCCAAAGCCATTAGAAGTGCTTTTATGACGATCGTTTTCAAAGATGATGAGAGTTTTGTTGGTCCATATAATCCAATCATCACTTTGAGGACTAAGGGACGCCTGACACAAACCCTGTTATTTTCCATTGCCTCATATTACATGTGAAGACTGGACAATGAATAAGGAAGACCAGAGAAGAACTGGTGCCTTTGAATGATGGCGTTGGTGAAGACTACTGAATATACCACGGACCTCCAGGAGAACAAACAAAGCTATCTTGGAAGAGGTGCAGCTAGAGTGCTCCTGAGAACTGAGGATGGGGAGACTTCATCTCTTCGTACTTTGAACATTGTATCAGGTGGGATCAATCCTTGGGAAAGGACATCATGGTTGGTAGAGGGTCAGCAAAGAAAAGGAAGACCCTCAATGAAATGGAATGACATGGTGACCCCAATAATGGACTCAAATATAAGAACAACATGAGGCTGGTGCAGGACCAGGGAAGGTTGTACATACAGAGGGTCACTGTGAGCTGGACCTGACTTGACAGCTTGTAACAACAGTAGCATAGTCCTACTGGAGTCGCTGGGTGACACAGACAGTTAAGCGCTGCCAAACCAACTGAAAGGCTGGGGGTTCTAACTCACTCTCTTGGTGCTCCGTAGACAGAGGTCACCACCTTGGAAACCCCAGCGAGCAGCTCTGCTCTGCACACGGGGTAGCCATGAGTGGACGCCAACCAAGACAACCAGTCTGCATTTTCTGGTTCGAATGGCATTCGAAGGCAGCACTGTCAGGACCACGCCCACAGGCCTGGGTTCATATGCCGTCTTCACCACTGTATGTTCTTGTCATGTGACCACTCAGGGCTGTGAGAGGAGGAGACGTGGGGACCAGTCCTGGGACAGTGAGAGCTGCTCTGTGAGCCCTGAGGTCCACAGCAGGGTGGGCCAGCTCTCTGTGGAACCATGCCCACCCCCCCACAACTCCACTGCAGCAACACTCAGCTTCCATCCACCTTCTGGGGTTCCCAAGCAGCCTACTCTTAGTGTCTGCTCACAGCCTCTTTCTGCATGCAAAGTGCTGGTTCTGACACCAAGTCTTGGAACGGTAGTCCTACCAAACCCAGATTCGTTTGACTTTGAAAGCAGGAAGTAACCTCAGGTCTGGAACCCGAGCCTCCTGGAATACATAACCCGGGGTATATAGACTATACTTGCTGTTGTTAAGTGCCACTGAGTCAGTTCTAACTCTTAGTGACTTTCTGCTTCCCTAAAGATGTACCACCTGGAGCTGTCCATGGTGACTGGAGACTGTCACCGGCTTCTGTCAAGTCAAAGCCACAGAGTGACTAGGATGCTGAGTGAACTAGCCGGCGCTCACACCAGGGCACTTCCGGGAGACTTTCTCCAATCAAGCCAAGCTCTCACAACAGACCATCTCTGAGGGCGCCCCTCTTCCTTGTTGCTGTTGCTATGGAGTGGGTTCCGACTCATGGAAACCCCAGGTGTACCGGCTACAGCTGCTCCATATGGTTGCCAAGGTTGTGGAGTCTTGTTACCAGAGTGCCAGACCTAGCTCCCTAGGTGCCTCTGGGTGGGTTTGAACTGCCAACTTTTCAGCTAAAAAAGCCCACTCAAACATCACCCCCTTGGTGAAGCCCCCTGCCAACTCCAGCATCGTCCTCTGATCCCCATTAGCAGTCAGTAACATTCAGGTCATGGCCCCCACTGAGGGGTACTCGGTCTCTGTGCTCAACCTCCAGGCCACCCCACTCCACCAGCGCCAGGCACCATCCCAGTCATGGCCCCCACTGAGGGGTACTTGGTTCCCACGTGACTTCTCCAGGCCCCACCACTGCTCAGCAC